CTTTATTTTTGTTTATATAAAACCACCCCCAAACTTTGAAGTTGAAATTTTTATGTTTATTTGCGTATTTTTTCACTTTTAAAGTTCACTTTCATTTAAAGATTGTTTAAGTTATAAGTTAAGGTATTTTCAAGTATATGCATGTCGTTTAAAGTTTTATGTTTTTATTTTATGTTTTTAAACCAAAGTTTTATGTTTTTAAAAAAAGCTTTAAAAATTCATGTTAGTATTAGTTTGTTTGGTCATGGTTGATTTATTTTGTGTTTGAATTGGCATGTAAATAATTGATTTTTATAAAATTGAATTTAATAGAATTGATTTTAATAGATTTAAGTTTAGTAAAATGTGTTTATGTTTGGATACATTCATGTAAAAGTGATTTAAAATCAAAAGTTACTTTAAAAAAATCAAACACTTTAAATTTATGTTATTTAGAAAAAACATATAAACATGGTTTTGGTTTTAAGTGGGAATGTATACGTTGATTGATTAGTTTTTGTGTTATCTAAATATCATGCCGTTACTATTTTCAAATATCATGCTGTTACTTTAATGTTGTTGGAACATTTTATTAATATTAAATAATATTATAATATGTTTCACATTGAATAGTTATCGTTAACTATATAGATAATGAGAACTAAACTTTAGTTCATTAGATGTCATGTTATCTCTACTATAATGCAAAATTTTTATTAGTAACGTAGGCTATACAAAATTTTGATTTAACAACTCTGCGCTAAAGTTCTTCTAAAGGATCAATATAATAAGTTTTAAACACCTTAAATCTTTATTTTAAATAATTATTTAAATTAATTAAATCTTCTTTTTTATAATTACTTAAATTTATTAAAATCTTTATTTTAATTACTTATTTAAATTTATTAAAATCTTTATTTTAAATATAAACAATATCAAAACTAAAAAATAAACGAAATTTGGAAACCCTATTAAGCCTCCTTCGCCAATTGGAATGGCGAAATTGTTTGGGCCAATTTAATTGGCGAGTTACTTCAAATGTTTTTTTAGCCTAATTCGCCAATTGGTATGGCGACAGTCGGTTGGTTGTTAGTTGTTTTGGTAAATATTTTGAAACATTAGTCTTTATGGAAAAAAAACAATACATGGTTATTGTAAAAAAAAATTCACAAAAGCTTGTTAGAGTAATGTTCTTCGGTAGAATAACAGGTCTGGCATTTAACCAGAACTTTATCAGAGTCTATTAATATAAGAAAGGTAAGGAAGGAGATATCTCTACACAACAGTTAATGAAGGAAGGTTGAATTCAACTTCTTTAAAGAAAAACCTGAAGAAATGTATAATTACCAGAGATCTTGGACCACTTCTATTTGTATTTTTAGACAGAACAATTTTAAAAGACAATATTTTAGGATCACATATTTATAACCTGTGAAATTGTGGAAATTCTGGTAGTTGAACTTCCTTGTCTTCATTAGCTATAAACAAATATAAATCATCACCATAATATTGTAGATGTAGCACATTCAAATATAATTGCATAACTAACTTCTGACTTTTCATTTTAAACTAAATAGCATGTAAATTAGTAGTTCATTAATACATAACCTACAGGCATCAACTAAGTGAATTAACACTTAACCAAATTCGCATTGCCTATGATCAACAATGTGAATATTCGCATTGCATATGATAACAATGTGGATATTCGCATTGCATATGATCAACAATGTGACGATGGAACCACCTCCATCACAAGGTCTTATCAGGTACCCACTGGGCAGCATCTCAGCTCTAACCAAATGCTGCACAGGAGGCATGCTTGGACCATTCTGTGTGTTTTTAAGAGACCTCTCACATATCTAAAATAATAGAACTGGGCATTGCACATAAGAGATATCTATTTTTGACTACACCATCGAATCAAATAGAAATATTAAAGGTTCTTTACATTGACTTATCACTAGGCTTCCATCTTCTAAAACAAATGTGTAGCGCAACAACCATAAGTCTCGTGCAGGAGCCAATGTGGTTGGCGCATATAGCTGATCATGGAAAAAAAGTATGCAAATAAGATATCCACAATATGTTATGTTACAAAGTCACCATTCATAGACATTGAATTTGAGTTGTTGTACCTGCATGTAAAGCAGCTCAATGGTTCCACCATTTGCTATGGGGAGCACATTCAGAACATCCACAACTCGGCAATCACGATACCACGAGGGCCAATCTTTAAGGATTTCTGCAACCTGTAAAGAGTATGGTTGGTTAATCCCGTCAATGAACGTCGGTAAAACAATTATCATAAAGAAAAAAAAATTCAGAGGCAGCACTAACCCTTGTGGCAACCATGAGAAATGCCATCTTTTCCAGCTAAATCCACACTCTTAAAAATATTTATCACAACTGGACGAGCCTAATTAATTACCAATATTCAATACTAATGATCAGAACATATATTCAACCATATGAATGTCTACATTTATATTAGAAAAATTACTTAGATATATAGCAGTAGCAGCAACCGATGATAGACATGTGTTAGCCAATATATAATAAATAACTCATGGTATCCTGAAAAATCATGGCTCTATAACATCTTACTTTTCCAGTGGCTATCACAATTTTCACACCCCTTGCTGAGGCCTCTCTCAAACATGCATTGCACCATGACAGACAAGAAAATCTTCAACAGCCAGCAATATTAGGACCCTTAAAGGAAAGATAAAATTGAAAAAAGTATGAGTAAAACAATAGTAGAAGCAAGATAGGTAGACTCACATGCTTTCTTTTAACTAGGGGTGGCAAAATGGATGGATTGGATGGATATGGATTGGATTGTTAATGGATGAATCAAAACAATCCATTAATCCATTAACAATCCACTAACTCTCTTAGTAAAAATCCAATCCAATCCATCCATTAAGAGATAAAATCCATCCAATCCATCCATTGACATATTTCTAATTGATGGATATCCATCCATCCAAAAAATTAATTTAAAAATTCTTAATTATTTTTTAAATTTCATAAAAACATAATTTAAATATTTTGAATTATTTTTTAAAATTCTTAAAAAAACTTAAATTTTACAAAAAAAAAATTAATATTCTTAATTATTTTTTAAATTTCATAAAAAAAACTAAATTTTACAAAAAACTCATTCTTCAAGTGTTTAATTAAAATTTTATATATTATTTTTATGCATATATCACATATATTAAAAAAATTAATTTAAATTTGTGATTTAATAATATTAAACTAAAAAGTGAAATATATTTTGTATCTTCTAACTATAAGAGAAACAAAATTATTTAGTGTCATCTATACTATAAATTGAATTATTATTGCAATATTAATAAAATTTATTTTTCTTTATAACATTAATTATTTTTTAAAATATATTCAAAATTTAATTACACTCATTTCTTCCTTTTCAACAAATAATTAAATATTTTATTTATAAAATAATTATTGTTACATTAAACTCTAAAATTGGTAATTATTAAGAAAATTTATTTTTCAGAAAAAAATAATTAAAAAAAATAATTGAAAAAAAAGTATGTTGAATAAAGATATGAAAAGTAATGAAAAAGTGACATCGGTAATGACTTTCCAAAAATCACGTGAGAAAAGAAATTACAGTACTATACTAAAATCACATAATTCCACACTATTAGAAATAATATAATATTTCAAAGTAATTAATATATAGCTGATACAATAGGCTATATGTACAAGAGTAGTTAGTCTAACGGTAATAATTAATTACCTTATTAATGTGAAATTAATATTAAAATGAATAATTAAATTGTGATTAAGAGTTGGTGTCAAAGAACACTTGTGAGAGACAAACATTATTAACACCAGAAGAAAAAAAATCTCCAATAATTTTCATCTTTAAATAAATTAAATCAACTTCAATAAAAATAATTAGAGTAAAAAAAGAAAAAGAAATAAAAAAAGTGAAATAAATAGTAATTCAGAGAAATATTTAAAATTACTAAACTGTCATTGATCCTCTACAAAGTTAATTTTTTATTTTAATGTTTCATTACCCATCAACAAATATTCTTTTATAGGGTACACAGACAAATGATATTTTCTTCAAGAACTAAAATTATAAATTTCATAACCTATGCGATCTTTCATTATCTACTATAGATATTTAGATCTAATTTATGTTTATTAAGTTTGAGTCCAACTTTTATCTTTTAAGAAATTCTGTTTTTTAATATATATATATATATTACTTACGTTATTTTTTATAAGAGAAAATTTATTTTTTAAATTTATTAAATAATTAATGTATTTGATCAGTTTTTAAATTAAATATATTTATTATGTAATAAACTTAAAAATGTAAATTGTCCCTTGTAAAAAGAACAGAGATAGTATAATATATTCATATTTTCTATTAAATGTTATTATGACTAATAATTTCTATAACCAATTTTCAGAATTCTTATTTTTAAAAATGAATTAATATATAAGAAAGTTTTAGTGTTTTAATGTCATAAATCTATTTTTTTTAACTTCTATGGATTTATAAGATCCATTAACTAATAATATAAGATCCAATGGATTTATAAGATCCATTAACTAATAATATAAGATCTAATGGATTTATAAAATGAGATGGATGGATTGAATCCATCCATATGAGTTAATGGATGGATTGGATCAAATCTATTAAATTATTTTTTGTCTTATGGATGGATTAGATGGATAAATTATTGGATGGATTGGATGGATAATATCTAAATGAATTTTATTGCCACCCCTACTTTTAACCAGCTGATTATCATTAGCATGGCAAGAAGGGGTAAAGATACTGTACGGGTCTATATTACCCATTTCTCTATTAGCAATATCCAAGATTTTTTCACTTGAATGTGACGTGTGTTCGACTGACTGAAAATCACATAGTATGTTCAACAGCTTGAATGTTTGATCCGAAATCATACCCGTTGTCCACATAAACTGAAAAATTCCCAATTGATCATGGAAGTCGTCGGTTAAAGCATTTCCTGCAGCAAATAATATATGTTATTGATTCATACCTTTTTCTACAAATTTTATCCCCACATTCATGCAAATGGATTTTGTATAAAAATCCATACCATGTAACCTTTGAAATTTATAGAATCTTGTTTTGCAGCTGAGTTGTAGTCGACAATAAGTTGGCTAAGTTGAGGAACATAATGTCCTGAAACAAGGAAAACCAGAATCAGAGAACTCAAACACTTGACAATACAAGTGTATTTATTTATCAAACCATTTGTGTTTACCTGCATAGCTCTCACCACTGATGAAAAAGTCGTTTTCTTTATATTGAGGAAAACGCTCAAACCACTTCAATAGAAATATGAGAGAGTCCTCAGCTGCACATAAAGAAATATCAACTTAATTCATATCTTGCAGATGTATTCAAACCAACAACCTTCTACACCCTAAAACTCAGAGTAGCGACTAAGCCATGTGCTAAATATTAGGTGTATTGTAAAGAAGAAGAAATAAAAGGAGAAACCTTACTTGTCCTCTTATCGCCATTGTTAAGAATGTCAGATGAATTCTTTGAATAAGAAAATCCAACTCCGGAAGGAGAGTCAATATAAAGAATATTCGCAACTACCAAAAACAAAATGAAAATGATTTAACACACCATAATTTATAGCATACATTATCTGAATGATTAGTGTGTGTTTGGATTGGTGATGGACATAATAGATTTCGACCGAATTGAGTTTAGTATAATTGATTTTAACAAAATTGAGTTTATGTTTAAATACATGTATGTAAAAGTGACTTCAACAACAAATTTTCAGTGTATAAATCACGTTTAAACACAGAAGTTACAAATTCTAGCTTCTACTATAATCAATTCTACTTGCGAAAAACCAAACACCTCAAAATCGCTCTATACTAAATTCTACCATTCTAGAATTACTTTTACTTGTTCCAAAAGTCAAACCAAACATGCTATAAACACAGTAAAACTCACGTTGATTCCAAGAATAAGGATTGCGTTCAAGGGTTTTGCCATCTAAACCGATATGAAAAGGACCAATTTCTTCAGCTTCTCCATAAGCAATAGAAGAACAACCAGGACCACCATTGAACCATAAAAGAAGGGGTTTTGAAGTAGGATTTGGATGTTCTGCTTCAATGAACCAGTAAAACAGTGTCCGACCGACATCCTCGTTCACTGTGATATAACCAGAATAGTGTTGGAAGCTGATGTTGAAGTTTTGACCGGGTAGTGATTTCACAATCCTGTCTTTTTCTTGTTGGACCAATGGATCTGTTGCTAATGCAATGCATTTGGAAAGAGTTGTTAATGCTATTATGGCAATGAACAACCACTCAAAATTGACCATTTCAGGTAGAGTCGGATTGATATGGTACTGCCACTCAAAAAATTACAATTACCATCTGAACTGCTTTGGTGAGAATTTGAATTTGCTTCAGTATCATATGCACTTTTTATTAGCCCTTTTCCTTTCCAATCAAGACTCTTCAAAAGGAGTTCCTCCCTTTTGAAATGCCCAGTGAATTCTATTTCATGATTTATAGTTAACAACACATATTTCAAAGGGTCGGTTTGAAGTACAAACTTTTTTTAATGAAAATAAAGAAAGAAACTGAATAAAAGCTAAGTGAAGTAAAACTTGTGTGAATTTAACCATGCATATAGCATAAGTATAACACAATAAAAATTCAACTCAAGCACTTACCAATCAGCATTCCATTTAAGTTGCAATTATACTTTGATTATGAGATAGAAACTGCAATTCTTACAATAGGAAGGTCGATTCCAGGTACATGTTGTGACATTGAGAGAACATCGGTAGCATGATCTTCATCTCTCCACTCCTTAAGGCTCTTGAGTTTCCAGTGATGTCCACATTGTTCTTCTTCTTAAACTCTTGAGCAAAGTAGTTCACCATCCTATGATCATAGTCCTCCCTGCCAAGATGAGTGTTTCCTCCGGTGGCCTTATCATTGATAGTAAGAAGAGACACATCAAAAGTCCCACCACCGAGATCAAAGATGAAAACATTTCGTTCTCCAACACGTTTAGTTCTTTCGTCGAGTCCATAAGCAATAGCTGCAGCAGTTGGCTCATTGATTATCCTCATAACATTAAGTCCCGCAATGGCACCAGCATCCATGGTGGCTTTCTGTTGAGAATCATTGAAATAAGCCGGCACAGTAATAACCGCATTATTGACAGGCAATTCCAAAAATGATTCCGCAATCTCGCGCATTTTACAATGCATAGGCTTAATATAGTACTAGTACTAACATTCATAAATACAATTAACATGGCAACAAACTCATTAAATTTTTCCTATTCATCATAGAGTTTCAAACTTCACCAAACAGACCCCACAAAATATGTTTCATTCTTCGACACAAGCATTCAAGAGCAAGATAACATATCATTATTCACCAATATAACACTGAATTGAAAAAATGGTGTAGAAATTTACCTTGTACCCTTTTCATCAAATTGCGCCAATGAAACATAACTTGAACCAGAAACAGAACGAGAACCTGAACTCAAATTCCCACTGTTAGCACCAACCCTATCAGAACCTGCTACAGCTATGGAAGAAGATGAACGTTGGAACCAACTCAGTGTTTATGTCTGCTTTTGTAGTTTGAGGTTGACTTTGAGCAGGAAACTCACCTAGTTGGAGAACGAAGTGATGGTCTTGAACGAAGAGAAGATCAGAAAAATTGATTTTGAAGAGAAAATCTGAAGAATCGATTTTGTTTAATTTTAGGGGTTTTTTTCATCTGAAGGTTTAATTTTAGGTTCATCAATATGAAAGGAATTAAGAGGGAAACATGAAAAACAAGTGGAAAATAGTTAGCCTCGGCTCATCCGTGTCTAATATTTTAAAAAAATAATTCAAAAATAAAAAAAATATTTAATCTCGGACTAATCATTTCTAATGAATTAAATAAAAATAATGGTAAAAGAAAAACTTTAAAATGGTTTTTTTTTTGCGTTTAAATAGCCTCGGTTTTGTCAAGGCTAGTTAGCCTCGGTATCGGTGGCCGAGGCTAAATTCGCAGTTAAAAATAGTTAGCTTCAGCTCATCCGTGTCTAATATTTAAAAAAAAAAAATCAAAAATTCAAAAATATCTAGCCTCGGCCTAGCCATGTCTAATGAATTAAATAAAAATAATTGTAAAAGAAAAACTTTAAAATGGTTTTTTTTTTTTGCATTTAAATAGCCTCGGTTTTGTCGAGGCTAGTTAGCCTCGGTGTCGGTGGCCGAGACTAGGGCTGAAAATGAGTCGAGTCGAGTTGAACTCACCTCAGCTCGGCTCGACTCGTTAAAATTAGTTCGAGTTCGAGTTCGAGTCTGACATAAACTTTTTTTAAAGCTCAAACTCGACTCGTTATAAGTTCACGAACAGTTCGGTTCAACTCGTTAGGTTCATCTCATTAGGTTCAGCTCACATGATTCACGAACTTAAAAACTATTTTTTTAAATATATATATTTTTTAGTATATTTGACATTTTAAATAAATATATTTTTTAAAAATAAAATATTAAAATAAAATAAAATTTATTATATTGAAATTTAACTTTATCATCGAAATCTACTAATTCAAAACCTACACAACTTTCAATAGATACATTTGAGAGTCTAATTCAAAAACTACTAAATTGAAGATTAAATTTGTCTAAGATTTGGTTTAAATATTTAAACCTAATCGTAAAGACAGTATAATTCTTCTCAAATGTAATCGAGTTGACTCATGAACCTAATGAATCGAACTATGTATAGTTCAAATTCAACTCATTTAGTTAACGAACTTAATTTTTCGCTCATACTCAACTCATTTGGTTCATGAACCTAGTTCAACGATTTAATTGTCGAATCGAATTCCGAACTATTTTCGAGTTGGTTCGGTTCATTGTCAGCCCTAACCGAGACTAAATTTGCAGCTAAAATGAAATTTTCTAGTAATGAGATAGAAAAAATGGAGTCCCCAAGATGTGTTGGTACTTCGCTAAGATAAAGTGAAAAGAATAGGAGATGAATATTCAAATAAAATAATATTTTGTTTTGATAATCTAATTTTTTATCTATTTTAAATCAAATAAAAAATAATAAAAAACAAGAATAAAAGAAATTCTAAAACAAACAAAGGGAGTGTTAGCTCACTTGGATTTAGTGGTTTCTATCTATGCTAATTTTTCTAATGGAATAAAACCAATATTTAAAAATACCATAAGAATAAAAAAAGGATTTTAGTAAAAATAAAATAAAAACATTTCTCTTATTCAAAAGATACAAAAGTCCCCCTTTCTCAAAAATGCTAAAAATTATATTTAATTTTTATACAAAAAATACTCTCTTTAATTCGTTAAAATCCCAAAAAGAATATATATATATATATATATATATATATATATATATATATATATATATATATATATATATATATATATATATATATATATATATATATATATATATATATATATATATATATATATATATATATATATATATATATAATTAAGATAGTTAAGGTTAATTAAGTTTGATTTTTAGGATAATTTTGAAATAGGATCACTTCTTGGAAAAAAAATTAGAGTTTGACTTAATCTAATTAGCATTTAGGGTTAAGGGTTTTGATATAATATTGACATATTAATTATTAATTAGGGTTACATGTTAGGGATAATCAACATATTTAGGGTTAATTAACATAATAATTGGATTAATAAAAATAATTAAATAATTATTTAGATAATTGTAAACAACAATGGAATAAAAATACAAAAATACAATTAGAGATTTAAATTGGGATTAGGATTAATTTTATAATTAAGCATAATAAATTATTAATTAGTTTCAAGGAGTAATATTTTCTCTTAATAAAAATGAACAAAATAAAATTAATTAGGAAATATTAATTAATTAAGAATTTCGGGTTAAAATTTGGGATAATTATGGGATAACTTAGGGATAATATGCGATAAAGTTCAAGGGAAATTTCTAGGGTTTCAGGGATAAAAACATCGGGGATAAAAGTCAAGGATAAGAGATTGAAATATTTGGTTTTATATGATTAAAATTTTCTTTTAATATTTAATACTATGAGTTTATTTTCTTAAAATCAAAATAATGAGATTTTTGCAATTAATCGAAAGGATAAAATCAATCTAACACACCTCAAATCATAAGTCATACGCCCTTGTGCATTGAGGCATTATTTTAAAAATCAAATCATCTCCGCCCCCGATGCATGAGAATTTTCAAGGGATAAAAACAACCAACACACCACTATTTTTAAGACGAACTACAGAACTGTGATCCTTCAATAGACTTGAGGATATGTAGGCATAGAGTTGTAAGACTCTAGCGAGTACAATAATAAAAAAAACGTCCTTTTAGGGTTCTCAATTAATCAATTTTAAGTAATAAATAATTTTTTGTAAATAAATAAATAAATAATTAAACAATTAATAAATGATAAGAAAATATCTTAAAGACACACTAACCCTAGAATTAAAGAAGAATTTCATTGAATAGAATGGAGGTGAGGGGTGCCTAGTACCTTCCCCTCACTTAATCGACTCACGAACCTAGTCTCTCACCCTTAGTCATTAGGTTTTATCATTATTTCCCTGTTCCTTAGAAAAAAATAAAAGATGATGGAAACTCTGTAATTTTTCAGCCACGACATTTGGTTATCACTTCTATTCCCTACTTCAATCTAGATAAATTCGGAAAGTTATTCCAACATTCAAATGTACTCAACCTGTCTCTCATTCTCACATTTTTACTCGAATTGAACATGGTGGCTACACATTCAACATACAAAAATATTTTACAATAAGTTTGCAATTTCTTTTGAAAAAAGCAGTTAAGATTAAAAAACAATAAATGAAACGATGGTGAAACGCCTGAATCACTAATCGTTATCAAAAAAAGATTAACATTTTTCATTGCATCCATTAGGGCTTGGTGCTCTTGTTCTTCATCATCACCCATTGCTTCACCATGGTAACATATTAGTTTTGTAGGCATTGCATTGACAGCTACAGAGTTGATGGGTAGTCTTGGTTGAAGTGTGACAACATTAGCCTCCCTTTGGACTCCATATAAATTGCATAATTCATTAATGATACAAAAATGCCCATAAGCCTTTTATTGTGCGTCAACCATTGTTTTAATATTTTCAACAATCAAAAGCCTTACATTACTTTGAGCATTCCTAACAAAAGCTAACACCCTAAAAACCCTCCTAAAAATAAACTCAGAAGTATTAGAAGTGGCTTCTAAAGTCGAAACAAAGAAGGAGGTATGTGCTTTTGAAATAGGGGCAAATGAGTTGTCGTTA